TGTGGCTGGCGCCCTACCAACAGCTACAGGCGCTGCCATTAAGAGAGTTGTTTTACATTTTAGTCAAATAATTCACAGGGCTATCTTGTTTCAAGGATTTTCTAGTGGAGACATTTTATTCTAAAGGCATTTGCCCTCAAATGTTTATAGCAGCACAATTTACGATCATAAAGATGTAGAAACAACCCAATTGGCCATCAGTACCTGAATGGATTAATAAAATGTGGCATATGTACACCATGAAATACTATTCAGCCATTATAAAAATGGTGACCTGGCCTCTTTTGTAACAACTTGCATAGATTTGTCTGGAGTTTTCTACTTTGCTATCTTGAAGACATTGGTCTTCCTTTTATTTATGCCAGGTTCTGTGTTAAGAGGTGCAGTGATGAATTTTAAATAATTAAAGGGCCCAGCAAAAGGGGCACTGTTTATGCCAGAAAAGTGAGACTAACTTTTCTAATTTTAATTTTTAATTATTTTTTATGTTTTTAGACAGTACCCTTGGTAGAGTGATACGGCATCATAGCTCACAGCAACCTCAAACTCCTAGGCTTAAGTGATTCTCTTGCCTCAGCCTCCCAAGTAGCTGGGACTATAGGTGCCTACCACAATACCCAGCTATTTTTGGAGACAAGGTCTCATTCTGGCTCAGGCTGGTCTCCAGCCTGTGAGCTCAGGAAATCCACCCACTTCAGCCTCCCAGGTACTAGGATTACAGGTGTGAGCCACCACGCCCAGCCTAATCTTTCTAATTTTAATTTAATTTAATTAATTTATTTTTGAAACAGAGTCTCACTCTGTCACCATGGGTAGAGTGCTGTGGCATCATAGCTCACACCAACCTCAAATTCTTGGACTTGAACAATCCTCTTGCCTCAGCCTCCCAAGTAGCTGAGACTATAGGCACCAGCCAAAACTCCTGGCTAGTTTTTCCATTTCTAGTATAGAGGGGGTTTCAGGGGGTTTCATTCTTGCTCAGGCTGGTCCCTGAACTCCTAGGCTCAAGTAATCCGCCCACCTTGCCTCCACAAGTGCTTGAGTTAAGGGCATGAGCCACTGTGCTTGACCCCCACTAATTTTTACTTATCAAAAGTTTTATTTTCTTCAGTAATGACATACTATTTATTAAATATTTTAGTTAATGTAGTTTTCATTTAATCTCACTAATGTGATCAAGAACAAATTTTTCTTTTTTTTTGAGACAGAGCCTCACTCCATAACCCTGGGTCAAGTGCTCTAGTATTATAGCTCACAACAGTGTCCAACTCTGAGGCTCAAGGGATCCTCTTGCTATAGCCTCCTGCATAGTTGGGACTCCAGTAGCTTGTCACAATTTCCAGCTCATTTTTCTATTTTTGGGAGAGATGACGGTCTCTCTCTCGATCAGGCTAGTCTAGAACTCCTGAGCTCAAGCAGTCTACTGGCCTCAGCATCCCATAGTGCTGGGATTACAGGCATGAGCCCCCATGTTTTAGTAATGACCTTCTAGTTTTGCTGTTTGAAACATCCCTCTACCTGCCCAGCCAGTAGATCATCATCTGTACCCAGGATCTGTCTATATTGCTACACCCTTGATAATAACTTATTGTGTCTTTGTGTGTACAGTACAAAATCATCCCTCTCTCTATCATGGCCATATCCAGGTATTTGCTTTTGGGTCCCACTGAGAGCATACCTATACATAATTTCCTAGAATCTCCCATCCAGGTACCAACTGGGCCCAATGCTTCTTAGCTTCTGAAATCAAAGATTGGACATACTCAGGGTGGTATAGCCACAGGCAATATTCTAGAATCTATATGTAGAATTTCTTGCATTCTATAAAGAAAATTCAGAGGTCATTCAATGTGATAAATATAACTTCGTAGTAAATATTGTAAGACTTACAGACCTAATTTCTTCCCATGTTATCAAACCATCTCCTTTCAATTTCTTCCATTTTAGCCTCACTGTCACAGCTTTAGTCTCATAATTGACAACAGAATAGTTATGTGTTCCTTAATTCGTTTTGTTTTTCTACCAGAGTCAGAATTTTAAATGACATAGTATAATTCTGTTTCCATAGATTTTCAAGTAATGTCTGCACCTGTATGCCCATATAAAAACATATTATGTATTTAACATTTTTCATAACACAGTGGGGTTTTAGCATATTACTTTTTGTATTCCTGACCACACCAGTTTCCACAAAACCCCTTCTGAACAACTCTCCCTTACTATGTAAACACAGTTGCTTACCATTGGCAGACTTTTGCAGGATGCTGCCCAGATTGTTATTTTGACTGGTGCCTAAATCAAGATGGGACCTGGGTGACGACTCATACACCGTTGTCTGTGAGGAATGACTGAGTAACCCTGTAGGCAACATAGTTGACACTTTCTGTGTCCCTTGAATGGTTCTGCTCTGTGCTGTTTCCTATGAACTTTTGTTTCTGTTGCTGCTTGGTTCACCCATTGTTCCTAAGAACATGTCTGAGCCTCAGGCCCTGGGTCAAGTCTTATTTTTGTCACTTAATGTGCAAATCAGGGTTAGATGCTTAAATGCTGTGGACCTGCTGTTTTTACGTGAAACATAATTAATCTCAAGGTTCTTCTAACAAGTTAGTTCTGGTTATGCCTAAGAATACTGCATGTTGTTTATAAAGACTATAAAATTGTTAATAGGACCTCATTAGATGAACTTTGACCAAGATGAATGTTCAAGTCATAGTTGCCTGAATTATGTCATATAGGATTATATTTCTTAATTTATTTCAAATAATGTTTTCTGTGATCCTAGTTGTTATATTTTCCAAGTGTAAGTATATCATTCTCTTCAATTATTGAACAGCATGTGTTTTCAGCCCATTTCATTGCTTTGCCTTCAGGGTAAAACAATTCTGCTTTTGGAGTTAACATGGATTTATGCAATGTGTTTTGCTTATAGGTTGTTTCACGCAAGACTTGCCTGCCTACTATTTTGAATTACATGTAATTACATTTACTGTATTTAAAAAACAAGTTTTCCTTAGAGTTAAATGTCACAATTGTATGTTTCATAACTCTGTGTGCTGTACCTATGCTACTCTTGGTATATTGTTATATATTTCAATAAGAGGTGTTTAATGACCATGTGTAATTCATCAGACACCTGTGGTTCTTTATATCTTGTAGGTGTCTCTTCTATATGTATGATAAATGAATTTCCACCTAAAGAGAGCAATAGTATAGAAGAAATATCCCCCACAGTGATGTTGGAAAGGCATGAAATCCATGACATTGAAGACTTTTGTTTTAGGGAAATCCAGAAGAATATATGTAACTTTGAATATCACTGGAGAGATGACGTAAAACGTTGCAGTGCAGTCCATATGACCCCTCAGGGAAATCTCTCTAGAAGGAGAGATCAGCATGATAGAAGGTATTCAGGAAACAAGCTTATTAATAATCAGCTGAGATTGAACACCCAGTCAGATCTACCAGAACTGCAGCTATTTAAGGCTGAAGAGAAAAGTTATGACTGTAATCCCATGGAGAAGTCTAGCAAGAATGATTCCTTGGTTTCCCCAACCCACAGAATTCCTTCTACTGTGAAACCACACCTTTCTTATAAACATGTGTATGATCCTATGGATTCATTATTCATGCCAAGAGAGAAACCACACAAATTGACAGAACATTACAAATGTACTGAGTGGGACAAGGCCTTGAATCATGGGTTACATTTTACTATTCATGAAGTAATGCATGCAGAGAAGAAACAATTTAAATGTGACATATGTGGCAAGGTGTTCAATAAAAAATCAAGCCTTGGAAGTCATCAGAGAATCCATGTTGGACAGAAATCTTACAAGTGTAATGACTGTGACAAGGTCTTCCAGCAGATTTCACAGCTTACACGACATCAGAGAATCCATACTGGAGAGAAACCTTACAAATGTAATGAATGTGGCAGGGTCTTCAATCAGATTTCACAGCTTATACGACATGGGAGAATCCACACTGGAGAGAAACCTTACAAATGTAATAAATGTGGCAAAATGTTCAGTAATAATTCAAACATGGTACAACATCTGATAATCCATACAGGAGAGAAACCTTACAAATGTAATGAATGTGGGAAGGTCTTTAATCATATTTCACGCCTTGTACAACATCAGAGAATTCACACTGGAGAGAAACCTTACAAATGTAATGAATGTGGCAAGGTGTTCAGTCAAAATTCACACCTTGCAAGTCATCAAAGAATTCATACTGGAGAGAAACCTTACAAATGTAATGAATGTGGGAAAATGTTCAGTCAGAAGTCATCCCTAGGAAAGCACTGGAGGATTCATACAGGAGAAAAACCTTACAAATGTAATCAGTGTGGCAAAGTGTTCCGTCAGAAGTCATCTCTAGGAAAGCACTGGAGGATTCATACTGGAGAGAAACCTTACAAATGTAATGAATGTGGCAAGGTGTTCGGTCAGAAGTCATCCCTAGGAAAGCACTGGAGGATTCATACAGGAGAGAAACCTTACAAATGTAATGAATGTGGCAAGGCCTTCAGAGAAAAGACATCCCTTACATGTCATCAGCGAATTCATACTGGAGAGAAACCATATGAATGTAATGAATGTGGAAAGGTATTCCGTGAAAGTTCAGCCCTTGCACAACATCGGAGAATTCACACTGGAGAGAAACCTTACAAATGTGATGTATGTGGCAAAATGTTCAGTCAAAATTCAATACTTATACAACATCTAATAATCCATACAGGAGAGAAACCTTACAAGTGTAATGAATGTGGCAAGGTCTTTAGTCATATTTCAAGCCTTGCACAACATCAGAGAATTCACACTGGAGAGAAACCTTACAGATGTAATGAATGTGGCAAGGTGTTCAGTCAAAATTCTCACCTTGCAAGTCATCGAAGAATTCATACTGGAGAGAAACCTTACAAATGTAGTGAATGTGGAAAGCTATTCCGTGAAAGTTCAGCCCTTGCACAACATCGGAGAATTCACACTGGAGAGAAGCCTTACAAATGTAATGTATGTGGCAAAATGTTCAGTCAAAATTCAGTACTTATTCAACATCTGATAATTCATACAGGAGAGAAACCTTACAAATGTAATGAATGTGGCAAGGTCTTTAACCATATCTCACATCTTGCTCGACATCGGAGAATTCACACTGGCAGGAAACCTTACAAATGTAATGAATGTGGAAAGGTATTCCATCAAACTTCACACCTTGTAAGTCATCAAAGAATTCATACTGGAGAGAAACCTTTCAAATGTCATGAATGTGGCAAAGTCTTTAATCGTATTTCACACCTTACAGAACATCGAAGAATTCACACTGGAGAGAAACCATACAAATGTTATGAATGTGGTAAAATGTTCAGTCGTACATCAACCCTAGGAAAGCACTCCAGAATTCATACTGGAGAGAAACCTTATAAATGTAGCGAATGTGGCAAAATGTTCAGTCAAAGTTCACACCTTGCAAATCATCGAAGAATTCATACTGGAGAAAAACCTTATAAGTGTGATGAAGGTGACAAACTGTTTAGTCAAAATTCATATCTTATATATCATCAGAGAATTCTTACTGGAGAGAAACCTTATAAATGTGAAAAGGTTTTCAATCTAAAGTCATCTTTAGCACATCATCAGAAAGCTCACACTGAAAAGAAATCTTAGAGGCTCAGCACCTGTGGCTCAAGCTGCTAAGGCACCAGCCACATACACCTAAGGTGGCGGGTTCGAATCTAGCCCGGGCCCGCCAAATGACAATGATGGCTGCAACCAAAAAATGGCCGGGCATTGTGGCGGACACCTGTGGTCCCAGCTACTTGGGAGGCTGAGGCAGTAGACTCACTTGAGCCCAGGAGTTGAAGGTTGCTATGAGCTGTGGTGCAACGGCACTCTACCCAGGGGGACAGCTTGAGGCTCTGTCTAAAAAAAAAAAAAGAAAAGAAAAGAAACCTTAGAAATGTAATGAGTGTGACCAATCTTTTTGTGTGTGTTCAAATCTTATTGTACATAATGTACTCCATTATGTACTCCATGCGGGAGAAACCTTTCAAATGTAATGAATTGAATGTGGCAAGGCTTTCAGTGATTGCCTTTATCACTGAAGGTGATCAATTGATACCTTTAACATCAGGGATTTCATGCTGGAGAGACATCTTATTAATGTGACAATGTAATTAATGTAGAAAGGTATTTTCTCAGCATTAAAGAGAGGGCATTAAGTAATTCACACTAGAACAGCTATTCTCAACCTGTGGGTCCGACCCCTTTGTAACAATGAAAATACATCTCAGCATTAGGAAGGTTGAGAACCACTGCACTAGAAGAAAACTTTGCAAGTATGATGAATGCAGCTTAAGTCTTTAGTTATCATGTAAGGACTAACCATCAGTTAACCCAGGCTAGAGGGCAACCTTTCAAATATATTGAATATGGCAATATTCAAGTGCATAATGGGGCATAATTGTGACATTTGGATTTCTGGAACATTTGCTGGAGTCAAACCTAAGAAATGAGCACAGCAAATAGTTTAGTGTCTGATTGCTTCCCAAAACACGTGAGCTAACCCATATTGGAGAGATATAATTCAAATCTAATGCACTCAGCAAGTTCTCCCTCAGTTCACACCTTTCACATCATGAGAGAATTCCTACTTGAGGGAAACCTTACAAATACAATAAGGGTTTAAAACCCTTCATTATGAGTTCAAATATAAATTGACCCAGAAAATTCATAGTAAAGGGCATTCACATAATTGTATGTAACAGACACTATCCTTATCTTGGGCCTTAAGAAATTTATCTTTGGGCTCAGCGCCTATGGCTCAAGTGGCTAAAGCACCAGCCACATACACCTAAGGTGGCGGGTTCAAGTCCAGCCCAGGCCTGCCAAGCAACAATGATGGCTGCAACCAAAAAATAGCCAGGCATTGTGGCAGGCGCCTGTGGTCCCAGCTGTTTGGGAGGCGGAGGCAGGAGACTCTCTTGAGCCCAGGAGTTGGAGGTTGCTGTGGGCTGTGATGCCATGGCACTCTGCCCAGGGGGACAGCTTGAGACTCTGTCTCCAAAAAAAAAAAAAGAGAAATTTATCTTTGGTGAAACCATAAAAACCAAGACATATGCTTAAGCTTTTGAAACGTGTTGATCATCAGCTTGATCATATTGGAGAGCAACTACACAAATGTGAATATATCAAGCCATTTGTCATGAGATGTTCATACTGGATAGAAAGCAAGGCAAATGTAGTGAACCTAGAAAGTTTGCTAAGGTAATGTGTGCCCTTAGGATTCATTAAAGAATTCATACTCTGGCTCAGCACCTATAGCACAGTGGTTATGGCACCAGCCACATGCACCGAGGGTGACAGGTTCAAACCCAGCCTGGGCCTGCTAAAACAACAATGACAACTGCAACCAAAAAATAGCTGGTGGTGTTGTGGCAGGTGCCTGTTGTCCCAGCTACTTGGGAGACTAAGGCAAGAGAATCACTTAAACCCAAGAGTTTGAGGTTGCTGTGAGCTGTGATGCCATGTAACTCTGCCCAGGGTGAAATAGACTGTCTCAAAAAAAAAAAAAAAAGAATTTCTACTCAATAGAACACTTATAAATGCAATGATATGGTAAATTATCTAACAGATTCTGAGAATTTATAGTCCATATTGGAAAGTTGATACAAAGAATAAAGAAGTCTCTAATTCCCCAAGGTTAACTTGGGTGAATACTGCCCAATAATCACAAGTCAATATATGTTAAGCATCATACATCAAAGGTGCAAGGACATTTGAAATGCTCAGTTATTTTCAGGTTATAAAAGATTTTATTTCAGAGCTGGGCCTGGTGGCTCATACCTATAATCCTAGCTCTCTGGGAGGCTGAGGCAGGTGGATGGCTTGAGCTCCTGAGATGGGGTGAGACCCCATAAATAATATCTGGGCATTGTCGCAGGCATCTATAGTCCCAGCTACTCGGGAGATGGAGGAAAGAGAATCCCATGAGCCCCAGAGTTTGAGGTTGCTGTGAGCTATGATGTCCCAACACTCTACCCAGAGAGACAAAGTGGGACTATCTCAAAAAATATATGTTTTATTCCATTATTGTAAGTTTCCTGGAAAGACTTGTTTTTGATTTTTAAACTGAAGTTTCAAATTTATTTTTATTACGTCTTTCTTACAGGCATTTCATGGTGCTCTAAAGAAAGGGGCCTAGTTTGTTAGGTGAGGATGATGTAAAACTATTATCAGCCATGCTCACTGCATTCGGGGTACTGTTTTTCACACAGGACCACTGTGAAATATAGGAAAGGAACACTTGAATGAAACACAGACATCAATTCCACGGGAGACTGGAGGAAAGTAGTGTTAGCTGAGACTGACTCCATAGAGGAAATGCAGGGAAAACGGTAGCCACCTTGTCCATTGAATGGCGATAGCTATTGGACAGCAGATTGATGGAAATATAGTCTTATTCTTGAACTTGAAAAGAGAACACTTACCGGCTCGGCACCTGTGGCTTAAGTGGCTAAGGCACCAACCACATATACCTGAGCTGGTGGGGTTCGAATCCAGCCTGGGCCCGCTAAAAACAATCATGGTTGCAACCAAAAATTAGCCAGGCATTGTGGCAGGTTCCTGTAGTCCCAGGAGACTCGCTTGATCCCAGGAGTTGGAGGTTGCTGTGATGCTGCGGTGCTCTACCCAGGGGGACAGCTTGAGGCTCTGTCTCAGAAAAAAAGGAAAGGAGAACACTTATCATAGAGGAGAATTTAATCAGAAGAACCACAATAGCATATTCTCAATCAGAAGTCAGGTGTTACTTTGTATTTTATTCAAACTGTTGCAGATGTTCTATATTAATAAAATTTTAATTTTTTTTTTGATGGCAATGTGTGAATCACATTCCTTCTACCATCATAGTTGATTCTGCCTCAGTGGGCTAGTTTGTGTTGGACAGTATCAGTGCACCATCAGTTCCCTAAGGCTAAAGGATCTGTAACAATTATTTAATGGTAGAATTGACATACAACATTGAGAAGTGATAATCATGTCTTGCGCTTGAGTCATCTTTTCTTCTGTCTAATGTAAGATACTTATGTGGGTATACTGCACATTTGACAGCAGTGCAGTTTTTTGTCTCTAAGAAAAACCTATATGCGTTTTGAGGAATATGGATTGTATTTTAATTTTAAATGCAGCCAGGCATGGTGGCTCATACTTATTCTGCTAGCAGTTTGGGAGATCTAGGCAGGAGGATTGCTGGAGCCCAGGAGTTTGACCTGTCTGGGAAACATCGTGAGACCCTGTCTCTACAAAAGTTTTTGTTCTTTAAAAGAACATTAGGCCACGAGCCACAGCTTAGGCCTGATATCCTAGCACTCTGGGCGGCTGAGATAGGTGGATTGAATCCAGGAGTTTGAGACCAACCTGAGCAAGAGTGAGACCCCATTTCTACTAAAAATAGAATAACTAGCTAGGTGTGGTGGTGCTTACTTATAGTCCCAGCTTCTTGGGAGGCTGAGGCGAGAGGATTGCTCAACCGCAAGAATTTGAAGTTGCTGTGAGCTATGATGCTAGGGTACTCTACTTAGGGCAACAGAATGAGACTGTCTCAAAAGAAAAAATTAGGTAGTTTATTATAAATAAATGATTTAGTGTGGTGTCTATAGCTCAGTGGGTAGGGCACCGGCCACATATACCAAGGCTGACAGGTTGGAAACAGGCCTGGGCCTGCTATA